CCTCTGGAGTCGCTTGCACGAGTACTTGAGAAGCTTCCGCTCTTTTTCTTTTATAGGTCGATCACTTCCCCCTTCTCTCTCGTCCCTCTTCCCTCTGATTTCCTCTTTGCTTCCTCTCGCTCACTTTTCTTTTCTTCCGTCCACCTTCCTTGTCCGGTTCCTTTTTGGTTCGTAGGAAATCGCTGTAGTCTTTTGTCCCTTCTGGCTTAGGAGGTGAAAGGTGCCGTCCTCGTAAGCCGCCTTCCTCCCTTGCTAAGAATAGACGATTTGCAGTTTTTAGACTTCTCTACTTCTTCACCTTCTCCCATTCACTGTTCCTCTGTGTCTCTTTTTCCATCTCACTTCCCTTTTTTCTCGCCCCCTTTCTCCTTTGTCCGTTTCGTTGCTCGTGAGTGATTGGTCCCGTTTATTCCTCTAGTTGCTCTCTTCCCTTTCGCCGTGTTGATATCTGTGTATTGGAGCGTAGCGGACGTGATGGTGATGATGGTGAGTGGGCGTCACCGGCTATGGATGACCCTCACCACGCTCAAGGGTGTGGCCAAACCTTCCCTTGTTTCGCGTCCCGGAGCGGGTGAACTTCGAAATTGAAAAACTTCCCTCATGTGCACCGCGCGCGGTGTGAATCGTCGTGGCGGGCACGAGGGGGTTGCCGAACACTGGTCAGTGTTAGCACTAACCTTCGGCGCTAGCGCGACCTCTTCACCTCGCCCAGGCAAACTTCTGTCCAGGTCCCTCCTTGAATTCAGGGAATCCTAAGAATTTGCCTGGGCGTGGTACTGGAAGTTTCGACGAAGCTCTAGCTGCAAGAACACCCAGAGAGTATAGACCATAACTACTTGAACCACATAGCAGCAAGATAGTGGATGATGACGTCAACAAACAAGGACCACACAAACAGATGGTGTCTCTTTTGAGGCACTGCAGGGAAAAAAAGAACAAAAGAGTCTACCCACAGGTTCACTGGACTTCATTCCTGAACTGAACCAGAAGCAGAAACAGACAGAAGGTCTGGCATGACAATTATATGCTCTAATCCTCTGCGTTAGCTGAGACACAAAGAAACTACCTCATGGAATCCTTTGAATTGAAAGAAATGTTGTCTTCACCCAAATACAAAAACCCCGCATCATGAACGCATACAAGCTAGTTCTCGTCCGATACAGTCATCTTCTGGGGAGGCAGTAGCTCAAAAACAGAAGGGAACATACATCATGACTGAAAAGCCATCAAGCAACACATTCATGCTCTAAAGACATCGAGAAGGTTGGACAAATGTGTCCAAGGAAGACTTACTATAACCCGAAAACACTCAGGGAGTTTGAAGAAACACATCATACTGAGGTAAAAAATAACTGGAGAATTGCCAATGCTACAGTATGGCCGCAGGGTAGAGGTAAGGCCGAAGGATCTGATCTCTTCCATTCCACTGGAATGGTTCCGCATCCTCCGGAGAGGACCGACATTATGGGGAGGGAGACTGGATTGCCATCGAGGGGAGACCAGAACTGTTTGGCAGGCTCTGTGAGATCAGACCAGACGACGCACTGGTAGAAATATACCACCTTGACAAGCATTTCCACATCCTAGGTGGCCCGGACCCCTTCAAATGGGTCGACAAAACAGAAATTTACAGAAATCCGAGTCTTGGGAAAGTGGTCTGATTTGCAAGCCTATCATCCCCATCTTCCGACTCAGGACCTGCCTCTAGACCCGAGAATTAAAAGTAGGCACCTGGCCCTGGTCCGATTAATGCAGGCAGGAGTATAAGAAATTAACAGTAAAAGGCAACATATAGGATGCTGCGACTAAAGCGAGTGGTGACAGACGTGGTAAATGATTGCTGGATGAGGAAACTCAACATCCCTCAAGAGTCGAGAAGGAAAGAAGCACCGACAAAAATCTCCTCCCTCCAGTGGCAGATCGCACACCGATGTCTCCCCACAAAGGATTGGCTAATTGAGCACGCCCATTTGGAACAGAAAGGACTTGCAGCCCCATGGTGCAAGAGGTGCAAGCAAGCCTTTCCACCCTGGCAAATCCCGGAAACTATAGAACACATTTTCATGCAGTGCTCATCAGCAGTCCTCACTTGGAGGTGGTGGGATCAAATGCGGAGACAGATGGTAAAGGACATCAACTGGGCCTGGGACTGGAGGGCAATTCTGGCTGGACACTGGCCCCGAGCACAAGCAAGCACTTTTATAACTAACCTGTTTTGGGTGGGAAGAATGGTGATTAGAGGAAGGAACTCATAGAACACATTAAGCAACACATCAGAATGGAACTCTCAGCTATTCTAGGAAGGTAGTGATGGACATGGTGCCCCGTATGACAACCACTACTGGCAAAACAAGGGACTCAGTTAGWWGGAACTCATAGAACACATTAAGCAACACATCAGAATGGAACTCTCAGCTATTCTCGGAAGGTAGTGATGGACATGGTGCCCCGTATGACAACCACTACTGGCAAAACAAGGGACTCAGTTACTTGTTTTGTCACTCTTTGTGGTAGCTGCCTCAGTATTTCTCGGTATTTCTAATGGGCTGGCAGTCAACCCCCTGCCCAAACGGACAGGGTAATCAATGCTGCAGCATAAGGCCTCAGTTAACACAGCTAGAACTAAGTATTCTACAAATCGAGGACAGAAGCCACACTGGACCCGGTTTCCAGCAGGTGCAGCTAACACCAATAGAATGGAGACATCTACAACTGGGGCAAACTACTGGGGGATGCTCATATCACCTATATCATCTCTAGATTCTCTACTAGTTGCGCCCGTGCGGACGTTTAAAAATCGAAAAAGAAAAAGAAAAAAAAACTGGAGAATTGTGTACTTAGCTAGCTTTCTACCCCGGGCGCCCGGGCCACCCCAGGTCGCCCAGAAGGGCGCTCGGGGCGCCCGGCCGTGCAACCCCCCCGGCCAGGTCCCCGGGGCCCCACAGCGCCGCCCCACAAATCGATTCGAAATTTTTTTTTTGCGCTTTGGGCTGAAGGCCCAGGGGGAAAAAAAAATTGTGGCGTCCGCCCCAATTTTTTGGGGGGTCCGGTAGCCCCCATTTCGTAGTTTTTTTTTTTTCGGGACCTGGGCCGTCGATCTGCATTGATCGATGGCGCAGAAGTCCCAAGATTTTGAATTTGAACCTTGGGACTTACCGCGCGGCCCTGCACCCTCCGCCCTACCCCCCCGCACCAGCGCGTTGTTTCCCTGCCGTTGCCACCCTGCCGTGGTCGTCCGTGCCATCGTTACCGTTACCTGCCGAGCCATCGCCGTCATCACCCTGCTGCCCTCCGGCGTGCCACTGTCATCGCTGTCCAACCATGCCATCCTCCCCGCCCCTGATGAAGACTGCCTGCGCAGCCATCGCCAACTCAGGTAAGTTCTTTCTTCTTTTTCTTCTTTTTTTCTTCTACTTCTTCTTCTTCTCTACTATGTATTTGTTTGTTCTTCTTTGTTTTGTCTCATTCTTCTTCCTCTCCTTCTTCTCCTCCATTTCGTCGTGTTCTTTTCCTTCTTCATTGTTTTTTCGTCTTCTTTTCTTTTCCTTCTTTGTCGTTTCTTCTTCTATTTGTTCTTATTCTTCATCGGTTCTTTTTTTTCTTCTTCTCTTTCTTCTTGCCGCCTCTTCTTCTGCTGCTGCTGCTTCTGCTTCTGCTTCTGCTTCTGCTCTCCTCTTCTTCCTCACTGTTTCTTCCTCCGCCATAGCGCTTCATCAACAAATCATCATCTTTTTTTTTGTGTGGAAATGCTTGATTATGCTTCGGCTCCGTCTGCCATAGCCTCCCTCCTCCCTCCATAGACTCCCTCCCCCCCCTTCCTCCATCAGTCTCTCTTCCCCGTCCTCCTCCCTCGTTAGACTCCCTCTCTCCATCAGTCTCCCTTCCCCCTCCTCCTCCCTCCATAGGTTCCCTCCATAGGCTCCCTCCCTCCTTCTT